GGAAATTGATGGACAATACGGACGAGGATGATGAGCCCTTAGTATTTAAACGGAGCAGCTCATCATCAAAGCAAAACCAATCAAATCCACAGGTGCAAAAGTCATCTTTATCTCAAAAGCTTGACCGATTAGGAAGGCCAATGCCCGATGTGCGATCTCAAAATGGTCAAAGTTCCGGGCTTCAAAAGGGTAAGATGGTTTCTTCTTCCAAATCACCACCCATTAAATCACCCCTGTGTAGCCCTGAAGCATCTAATTCATCTGCTAAGGCATCTCTATTGAGGTCTCCTGAGGCAAATGTGAAATCTTCTGCGACAAATCGTTCAGGAAATGTTAATTTATGGATGAAGGTGGAGAAGCGATCGTCTGGGCCTTCTGCTGATCCATATGACTCTGATGATTCGGAAGATGATAAACCACTTAGTGCTAGGCTTCCTACTGGCTTATCAAGGATCAACTCGAACAATGCCAGCAAAGGATCCAGTGCTTCACGTTTGGGTCAAAAGCCAAGCATCCCCAAACAGGAAAATTCTGATGATGAAAAGCCTTTGTCATACAAGGTCCAATTGAAGACTAATGTAGGGACATCCAGTAGCAAGTCCTATGATTCAGATGAAGAAAAGCCCCTTGCAGCAAAAAATAACGAAAATGGATCTGCCGTACGTGATAGTGGTTTAAATAAACCTTCAACTGTGCTAAGTAAGAGATCTGCCAGCGAGGTAAAGTCTGCTGGGCAAGCTTCTATGAAAAAGCATAAGCTTTCTGTTGCATCAGTGCCTATTAATAATAAGCAAGCATCTGTTAAAGCTGAGCAGAAAGTAGAGGATGATGATGACCATGTTCCCATATCTCAGAGATTGAAGATACCGGCTGCTTCAGATAAGAAATCATCAGCCGTTAAGAAAGTAACGAAAGTTGTTTCTTCTTCACTCAATAAAACAAATAAGAAATCAAAGAAGGTGATGAAACAATCTCAGTACATTAAGTCATCAAAGGTTCCTCCAGGCTCTGGTGAAGGGCAGAAATGGACTACCTTGATTCACAATGGTGTGATATTTCCACCTCCATACCAGCCTCATGGGGTTAAGATTCTCTACAAGGGGAAGCCTGTTGACTTAACACCCGAACAAGAGGAGGTGAATATCACTCTCTCTCACACAACACACACTGTTACTAACTTTTCTTTAGTTCATTGTGTCTATATCTTCAAAAAAATTGTCTTCAGATTGCTCCAA